CGACTGCATTCACACTTGTATAGGTTGTAAGTTCACAGGTTTCGCCATGCTTTACGAATAGGTATCGATTTCACGCGCGCGCAATCAATATAATTCGTTGCATGCGTTCTCCGAAAGGCGCTGCGAAATGAGAAAGCGACTTCGGCAGATTACGTTGGTATGCCTGCACCGATAACCTGGTGTAAAAACCACTTCGCGGTATAACCTGTCTACTAGACCACGTTCTGCCCATGAGGCGCAAGCGCGTGTTATCCCACTGGGTCCCAATTCTAAGACATTGGATCCCAAAGGTTAGCGCGGTTTCCGAGCCAGGCACCAGTGCACAAACTACTTCGTAACTTGACTACCTTAGCTGTGGTGCTCATTTTCGAGATAAGACAACTTACCACATGTGAGCAGTTGGTCTCGTCAGCCGCATTGGGACAGTCCTTTCTTCGATCACACCACTTATGTTCCACAATGCAAGTGCCATCGTCACACTGGCGATGTCCAGCAGCGCACTTTCCGTAGGGTACACTGGGACTCGTCCAGGCCATCACTACACTGTACCGTACCGTCGCAGACCTGTAGCACATAAGAATAGGACGACAATAAAAGAGAAGACGGCAGTATACAGTACCTTGCTGCCCGGAATACATTTTCCATCATTGCATCGGAATTCGCTCTCAGAGCATGGCCTACTTGTACCACCACAGCTTGCGTCCAACTCGTCCGAGTTATCGCCGCAGTCGTTCTCACTGTCGCACATCCATCGCCGTGGAATGCACTTTCCGGTGGTTGCACAACGGAATTCACCTGGAATTGGCGTGCTCTGAGGTGTTCAGAGTTTTAGAAATGCCTGAAACCCGTACCAATATCGTCGCAAGTTGGACATCGCTCTTTGTTCTCGTCCGAGTTGTCACGGCAATCGTCTTGACCGTTACAGAAGGCCCAGTTCGGTATACATCTGGAATGAAAAGATAATCTAATGCCGCGCTTCATCAAAGGCAGAGATCACGAAAGATTTAAAAACGGTTGAATAAATATTAAAAATATATAACCCAGTTTGGCTGCGCACGCATTCGCGTGCATGAGACGGGGCTGCAGCGGTAAAATCGGGCCCATCAGTATTTTTGTCTTGATTTTAGCTTTCTGCTCGGTACATCTTACTTACGCCGCAAACTCCGCCCACATCCGGGTGTGCCACGCCCAGCGTTCACATTCAACCTCTACTCCTACTTTCACCTCTGGCGTTTTTTTCAGGTCTCTAAGTCATCTCGGAGCCGAATTATGAGGTCTTGTAAATGGCGTTATGAGTCACGAATTTCTGAGGCAGACCCCGCCCACTTTGGTGCATGCTTAGCCCAACAATGGCATTCAACCCTACTCCATACCTCAATACTTATGCACATTTTCCCCGGTCGCCGGAACTTCTAGGAACCGAGTTATGAGAGCGGTGGCAAACTCCGCCCACATCCGGGTGTGCCACGCCCAGCGTTCACATTCAACCTCTACTCCTACTTTCACCTCTGGCGTATTTTTTTCAGGTCTCTAAGTCATCTCGGAGCCGAATTATGAGGTCTTGTAGGGGACGAAATCGAGCTACGTATCTTTGTGGCAAACCCCGCCCACTTTGGTGCGTGGGTCGCCCACTGATATCAGTCGGCTATCATCTCTTCCCCAACCTTTTTCTACTTTTCTCCCATCTCTGGAACTTATTGGAACCGAGTTATGAAGTACCGTGGCAAACCCCGCCCACTTTGGTGCATGCTCCGCCCGCCAACAACGGTTGACCCCTTTCCCTCTGCCAACCCTTATACGCTTTTTTCCCGGACTCCGGGACTCCTAGGAACCGAGTTATAAGCCTAATTGCAAACTCCGCCCACTTTGATGTAAGCCACGCCCATCCCTGACATTTAGCTTCCCCTCCCCTCCTGACCTCTATCCGTTGTTTTCCGGTCTCTAAGTCATCTCGGAGCCGATTTATGAGCTCTTGTAGAAAATGCTGTCCGCTTCACGACACGCTCCGCCCATTGTGGGCGGGCCTCCGTTCACATCATGCGTGGTGGAAATACCTTAGGCATTGCTCCCCTGCACTAATTTCGTTCCTGGTCTGTAGGCTTCCTCTTAACCGAGTTATGAATATTTTCACTGAGCACCCATTTTCTAGAGAACGCCCCGCCCACCGAGGGTGGGTCTCCTCAGTTCGATCTGGCTTACCAACCCACACCTATGCCCACTTTTGTCCCGGTCTCGAGGCTGTTTTGTGACTGAATTTGAAATCAACCGATGCACGCCACGCCCACTGTGGGCGGGGCTCCGCTTGGCTGATGTGTGTTTTTTACTTCTAGGGATATGGTATACCCATCCCAAACTTGACCTGGACCCTGTAGGTTGTTGTTCGCTTGATACCGAATTTCGTGACAGACAGACAGACAGACACAGAGCGCATTATAATATAGTATAGGATGATAGAGACTGCTGCAGTTTTGATGACCTCATTGAACATTATTGGTGGTATTGGTGGAAAGGCTTAAAGGAATCTTCCGCGGAAAAAGCTCCGCCTCCATTACCACAGAAAAACGATACCCTTAGGCCCCTAGCCTCATGAGCATAGCAAAAAGAACGGAACATAAGCGTTAGTTTCGATAATACTAATCCTACACACAAGACAAAATGATCACTCTTTCCGTGGAAGATTCCTTTAAGGTATCGTTTTCTGTGGTAATGAGGGCGGAGCTTTTTCCGTGGAAGATTCCTTTAAGGGCGGTTCCCCTCCATCCGGAAGGGAGATGAGAGGTCAAGTCTACCAATGATGCCCAAGACGTCCTTCAGCCATTTCCACTGCCTTTGAACTCGAATTTTCACATTCAAGATGAAAGCAGCTCAAAGCAAAAAAGTTGAGTCGAACCTGTAACAAAGTAAACTACTCCGATATGCGCCATGCATTGGATGCCCTTTCAAATTTGGCAGATTTAAAGCCATCAAATGAAGAGCCGGATCCATGCTTATTTCAGTGCATTCCCTTTTCAGAAAACGCGCGTCCACTCCAAAAATGGTCCCCGACATGACCCGATCACACAGCCTATGCCGGCCCGCGCGGATCCTATGGTCACTACGCTATGCAGCATCTCAATTGTGGGGTATGGGTTTTGTTCATTATTTTCCACCACTTTTTCATCCATTCTCGGGGAGAAGGTCCGTAGTAGTAAACGCCCCGACGCCGCAAGTTGCCACTGGACTCGTCAAGTCTGAGACAATGAAATACTGAGATAAATATCAATAGACCAGAGTAAATTAGAGTCTGTAGGCCAGAACCCTTCCAAAACCCATCACGATCCCAGGTAAGAGTTGAAAGCGTGGCGCTTCCCAAGAATTTTATGCCAATGCCGTGCGTTTTGTGCTTTACCTATATCTATTTTATGAATCTAAAAATTATTTATATTCAGCTCAGACACTTGCGAATAAACCAAAGCTCCAAAAAACAATTACCAAAGATATCATACCTGTAAGAGCTGGCACAACGAGTCCATCCACGACGGCAGTCCACCTGTGCGCAGTCAGGTGTTTCATCTGAACCGTCACCGCAATCGTCGTCGTTGTCGCAACGCCAGGCTTTTGCAATGCATTTATTGTTCGTACAGCGGAATTCTTCAGCGGTGCAATTCCGGTCGGGACTCACTAAAGCTACGGTATTTACAACATAATTTACAACTTGTCATTGCAAAGTGTGCGTATAGCTTACAGCAGAGACTGTCGGCTTCATCGGATCTGTCTCCACAATCGTCATCGCCATCGCAAGTGAATCGCTTCGGAATACATTTGCCAGTTGCAGCGCACTAAAAAATGTATGATGGCACAGCTAAAAACAGATTTGAGTAGAAGCGGAGCGCTAAGGTTTTCATTACTAGTTCGCAACCATGAGACCAGAAACCTTCTGATTCTGCTATTTTAATGAAGAGAAAAGGTTTCAGACAGTGTTCGTCCACCTACGTAGATGAAACTGACGGCAGATGGCCTGATCCGGGATGATTAAAATTAAGCTTTTGATGAGCTTGGGATTGTTTCTTCTTTGAATGCTTTTTTTTTCAAAGAGCACTCTCTTCACAGTAACTTTCAAGAAAACTTTCCAATGGAGTTATTATGAAAAGAAATCTGATCAGGGAACCTCAAAGGCAATGGTCGTGATGGCCGGAAGGCGGAGAGGAGTTGAACACGCCATTAGCGGGAGAGCTTCGAGGACCCGTTCAGGCCCTTCTACATGCGGCTACCGATTTCAAAGCTATGAGAAATTTTTTGGAGTGCTTCACAAGAATACTGGGTTGTGAACAAAACGTTCGCCCTAGAGGGGCTCGAACCCAGCAAGTGTGCGAAACTTTCGCAACCTGTGGCCAAAAACAGCAATTAATAATCAATCGTATCAAAATTGCTTTTGAACGGTTGACAACTTGGACCAGAATTGATCCGTGGTCCATAGAGGGTCGGAAGCGGCGCAACCTTGTCGTCATTAAACTACGATACAACGCTCTGACGAGAAGTTCAAAAAAAAAGAACCTAAATGGCATCTAGGGCACCTCGATTAACTGCCGCTTAAAGCAACCGCATTTCCTTTGAAACCCTAGAAGAGAAACCAAATTTTTGTCAAAAACACTAAAAAGCGGTACCCTATCAACGGACAAGCTGGCACAATTATCTGGCCGTGCCCCCCTACTATGGCGAGAAGTGGTTGGTGCACTATCCTCAAAACTATTCGTGGCCACGCTATGTTGAAAGGAGTAGATTCATTGTACTCAGGAAACCCCAAGCTATCAATGTTCATTTAAGGGAAGTCCACCTACCCTTGAACATCCACGGATCGGCATGGTTTGTCGCATTTTTTCTTTGTCATTCCTGATTGCCTGTGCATCCGTACTATGATCATCGTATAAACCTGGTGTTCTGACAGAGTTTGGATACTGCTCTCTGGGTATCATGTTGTTGAGTTCGGAACTTCATGTGAAACTGCTTCTCTAACATGGGCAGATTTACGATATAGTCTGTAATCAAAGAGCATCCTTGTAGACATACTCCCTGTTTGGCTCGTTCTGAGCAACGCATTCGTGAAGCATGTCTCCTATTTCTCTTATGCCTTTTACAGAAGATTGCTCTGGAATATGTTACTCTAACGTCGACTCATGTCTTTTGCCTGGTTTTCGTCGCTTGTATCCTGGTCTCGACAATCTTGCTCTTCAGACTTCACAGGTGACTCGCCGCTGACAATTTTTCCGATATTGTCACGGTTCCGCATGTCGTCAGTCATCTCGGACCTACATGGCGTAACTTGGGGGTTCAAGGCAGTTTCGTGGTTCGCCGTATGTGTCTAACAATTATAATTTGCTCTTCACTTTTTGCTTGTCCGCTAAGAAGTTTTTCTCTGCGCAACTACGACGGCATCTCTTCCTGATTCAAGGGAGAATACTGTTTCTTGGTTTATCTGACGGTTTTTTTTAGTACTCTACCCATTATTAGTACAATCGGCATCCACAACCTTCCATTATACCGCATGTGTCTCTCCTACAAATTCGATCTGGGCTGTGTCTCGGCTGAAGGGGATAAAGTAAAGCCCCTTTCCCATCTATATTTTTTTATATGTCTAAGGTCCCCTAAATTGAGAAAAGGAAGGTAAATAGGAACAAGTGGTGAAGAATTATTATACTGCAACCTGTCTAAAAAGATTTCTTTCTCCCATATAGGTCTTGAAGCGCTCCTCATGACCTCAGAACTAACCTTGTTATCGCCAAGCAGTACGAACTGATCCGGGCACGCACAGGTGTAGCCATTACCGCCGGCTCCGATGAGGCAGAGATGTGAGCAACCACCATTATTCGTTCCAACATGTTCGGGATATGCTTGATGTGAACGGAGTTGGGTTAAGTAATCTTAAACATCACGATTTTATACCAGAAACACATTTTCTTATGCGACTAGACACAGCATATTATTGCATTCCTCAGAATTCGAAACCTGAAGCACATTCCAGGATCTTGAACCGTGTAGCGGAGTTCAAATATACGAATAGCAATATGCGATATGGAACTCGAGAAAGAGGAAGAAGTAAAACTGATCGACAAATTGCTGAAAAAGCCTTAAATGGAGAGTTTCCCCAATTGACGACCCAGAGTATTGTGCTAGAGCCCGAGAAGGGAAGAAAGTGTGTGTTTATAAGAGAAACTCTGACAGCGAGGGGACATCAGTAGACAGGGATGGCAGAGACGCAGACAGTGCCGGACATCTGCCATTGGATGCTGGATGCCATTTAACATCCAAAGGCTGACAATATTTTTCTAAGCTGCTATTCAGCAAGTTATGGCATTTTTCGCCTCCATAAGCACTTAGGCTCCTTGATGCTTACTTGACACGAGATTATTACAAAAATAATTACGAGCTATTACGAAAATAAGCCTCCAAAAATAAAGGTCAAAAGTTCAGGTAAGCGGTTGAGTGGAGTGGTTTTAGGCAGCAGAAGTAGAAGGACTTACCCTCAAGTCGTTTGGCAGCTGAATAGTCTTCTTCAGCACTGTTTCGTTCATTCCGGTCCATTTATCACAGCGGACCACTTCTCGAAGGTTCCAGTCAGACCAGTAAAGGTAGTCATCGAATACCACCTGAATGTCGAAGATTAGTTGTTAGCACGACTCCTGAGAACGCAGGGCGCAACCTGAAAAGGTTACTGTCTTCTTGACGTACCATACTCGACACATGACTAGTACGTTGCGCTGGGATGTGGCGTCGACCACCTCCGTCTAGATCCATGAATCCAATCTCATTCAGATGAGCGTCACCCCAGAACAACCTAAAGACCCGAAAAGTATATTTTTACCAGCGCTTAATCGACCAATATTGTAACCAGTACCGGTTTGAATAGTAATCGATAGTGAGTGCGTTTGGCCATCCGAGATCGTTCTCGGCTAGCTTCACGATAGGATCAGCTAGTTCTGGAGAGCCATCCAGGGCCATGCGACCGATGTACGGCTGCAGACTCCACTCTGTGAAGAACAGATAACCTTTTCCAGGGTGAACAGCGATTGCCTGAAACCATCACTTTATTGAAGAGAAATGTGATGTGATCCCTTGTATAGGTAAAAGTGAACAGAGAATAGCCCAGTTTTCGGGCTCTGAAAAAGCGATGACGCCGAAATGGCGGCCATACCAACCTCCCTAGCCATCCTGGCTACAATCTCGACTGCATCAGGGTCAATCGAAAAGACATATCGAAATTTATGTAACGTCGGAATATTTTACCTTCGGCTGTGAAATCCGATCTCTGATGAGAGTCCTGCAGAATCGGCCGTCGAGTTCGCAAACACGTATGGATTTCTCTTGTCTGTTCAACATGTAGATTTTCCGTCCAACCCAGTCTACTGCGAATCCTGAAGGGTATAGTGATGATGGAGCAGTCACAGAAACAAATAGAAATAAGCGAAAACCAGAAATTGGCGTTTTCCGACCCAGTAGGTAAATATGGGAAAAGGGAATAGGAGACAAATTTGAAATAGGGAATAAACGCCTCTGGGAAAAGCTTCGATGGTGTGCGACGGCTTGCGAAGAATCTCGCACCTGAAGCACTCCCATAAGGTGGCGCGACGGGTTCTTATTGGAATGGATGGTATGAGATTCAAAGAAAAGGGAAGGTCCGCGAGAGACCCTGACGCTTGATTCAATAAGAAGTAGGGGGAAAGAAGAAGCAGAAAATGAATAGGCACATACTCCATGCTCAACGCACGGGTGAAGTCACTCAGATGTCGCCAATCTCGCACTCCCTTTCTCCTGTTTTTCTAGGCAGATGTTAGATTCGTAACCAAACGCTAGCGAATTGAGCGATTCTGAATGTCCAATGTCCCAAAGCAGCCGGTGGACTGTCCGAAAGGAGCGCGTGAGTGTGCAGGCTCCTCGGAGGCTACACTCAGCGAAAAGTTCGTTAGCTGTTGGTCACAAAGTCTGGCATCTGCCTCAAAAGGATAAGTGGGCCCACCCGATTGTCCGAGCGACTCCGCCCACACACTGAACATGGAGTCTCAAAACGAATTTAGCCAAAACATACCTTCTATTCCAAAGATGTTATGTCGTAGTACGGTTTCGTAGCTGGTTACTGGACTGTCCATCTCCTCCAGGTCTACACGTAACAGACGCAGTTTTCCTTGGTCGACCATGTAGCCTAAATTCCATATAATATTCTCACATGTTCCCTAGAAAGGCAAAAACGTCCAAAGAGCGCCAGCTCTGTGTGATTTTTAGCGACTGACTGAGCTGCGGAAATATTATCAAAATAAGAAAGGCACTTCATGCTCTCACCTTCTTTTCCGTCAGGTCGACGTCCAGCGAGACCACATTGTCGAAACCTTGAGCTGCCATTTCGTAACTGTTACCATCGAGCGAGATCTTTCGGATGTAATGTTTGTTGGCGAGCATCAACCACGGTACAGGCTCCTGGAACAGGGTCATATTCAACTGAGTCAAATGAAGCAAACTGAATTTTTGAAACTTAAGTACTGAGAAAATGCGCTCGGGGACTTTTTTAACGCAATGGGGAGCGCGAAGCCCAGAAAAATTAGCGGTGATTCGAGTCACTAGGATGAAATGTTTACTCTTCATCCAGAGGCATTGGAATTTATACGACACCTTCAGAAACTGTAGCTAGAAAATGGGAAACGAGACCTAAGCGTCTGTAGTGGAGTTAAAAGACAAGCTTAGATGCTCCATGGCCCGTCACTGGAGTAGAAAGCACACAAAACGCCAGAAATGCCTTAGTGATGCTCTTCTTTTGATAATTCACCCAGAGAACGTTTCAAATCTGAATGCTGAGACGTCGACAGAGCATAATGGCGAGCGAAACGCACACGCTTTGAGAGACATTATTTTGGGTGCTATCATGGGACCACCATCGGGGCTTAGTTGCTTTATCCTAACCACGTGTCACGAATTAGGAATAACCGGGGTTTATGAGGACCATTCTGCCTCTTTCGTGCAAGTATTTCATTCCTTTGATAAGAGGCTCGAGGAAAGGTAGGTCAGTGCACGGCGGTGGAGCGCAGCACATGTTTGTGACCGTAGGGTTACCGCTTGTGCGATGCTTTGCATCAACGGGAATCTCCTGACACATACCTGAGCTACTGCTTCACAATAGTACTTCAAGGAGCTCTGTGGAAAACAATGAAGAGGTAAAAAGAGATAGGCGTGAACTCACAGCTTCCGTCCTTTTACAGCTATGATCATCTTTACCCAGCTGGTATCCTTCAACACAACCACACTTATATGAACCGATCTTGTCCTCGCAAGTTTGACTACATCCAGAAATTCCTTCTAAAATGTGCTGAATAAATATTAAGTAACAAACATTAATATAATGTGGATGAGAAAAGGGAAAGGATCTCAAAACTGGCGAAAATAACGGTTCATGATTGGACATGAATTCTTTCATTTAGTAACGCATATCCTTTAACAGCCACCGTGCTGTGTCCATTTTTTGTTTTAGCTCTCAAAATTCACAGCCGAATATTACTTTAGGAGGGCCAGGGAAAGAGGCGAGAATAAGTTTCAACCATTGTTCCCTTGAATAATCCTCCTTACATCTTACATTTTCTGTTGCCCTGAAACTTTGGGGTCTGAATGTAGAGAATAATTAGCACAACATACGAGACAGCAAAACTTCCCAAATTCGCCTCAAAACTTTGAATACTTCTCATACTACCCTACCAACAAAAAAGCGCAGCATTGGCCTCTCTTCTTCTCCCAATACGCTTGACCCTGGTCCCATTGAGTTCAGAAATTTTGGAATAGTATCGGCTATAGAAGTGAAGGATCTCGTATTACTCACAAGAGTGGGGAGGGAATTTTAAACAGCTCAGCTATGCTCTACACCTTACCAGAGCTGGACCATTGCTTACGAACTCGCCGGAATACTTCCTGATCCTGGAGCAGAAGATGGTTAGGCCTGTGAGTGGGCCTAACATAGGCAGTATTGGAGCCATGGATCGTGCATAGTAACGCCTTTCACCCTCTTTTCGCTATGTGCGTACTTGGCCAGGGCAGGGTGCAACTAGACGTCGTATGCAATTAGGTCACGTAATGTGCACGTAGCTTTCGAATACTTAATTCTGGACAGGTGACCTAGTCATCTTCACAAAGAAGTTCGATAGAAGAAAATAGTTGAAGAATACGCTTTGATTAGCCCCTTCCTGGGATGCGCCGCGCACTCCACCTCCATCCAGAATCATGGTTATCGTTTTACCAATCCCATGGAGTAGAATGTTCAGGTGGCAGTAAGCGAGAAAGGAACTGAGGAAACAAAGCTCAGACAGTGTGCGTGGTGAGCGGCGCCACTTCCCACTAAACCACCTCTCCCCGAAAGATCGAAATTACGAACTCATATTTCACAAAAACCTTCAACATTTACACTTACCGTAGCACTCATTGACGTTGTGGCAACTCTTCTTATCGTCCACGTCAATTGCGAAGCCTTCGAAGCAATCACATCCGATATCCGATCGGCAAGTCGACACACTTCTGTTCACAAAGCGGCTTTCTCTGCTTGAGCACACTCATCGATGACTGCAAAGCAATCTTTTCATCATTGAAGTGAATGGCGAGTTAAAGCAAAAAAAGACGTTGAAATTGGGCTATAAACAAGGTAAAAGGTAAAACAATAGAAGACAGGTAAAGGATAAATGACTCTGCAATACGCACAACATTGTGAAGATTCATCGCTGCGATCCGTGCAGTCGTAGTTGCGATCGCAGACCTAAACGACCAAAAATAATAATAAATCTTCAAAAAAATCGATTACAGACCAAATTTCTTACCTTCTTCTCATCGATACATTCACCAGTAAGGCACTGATATTGCCCTTTCGGACATAACGGATGGCCCGTGCCCATATCCTGGAAAAAATCATTGTTCAAAATCAAAG